CGCCTTGCCCGTAATTTTGTATCCCGCTTTACTCCCATCTCCGCCCCTCAATTTCTCTAAAACCAAGCATACCATAACCTAGTTGGTATGCATTATATATAAAACCTTGATTTGCAGTGAAGATCATGAGTTCAAATACTCTACATTATTAAGTAACTAACATCCAATATACCATAAAAGAAAAAGGAAGAAGCTGAACTATAAGAAGCACTTGTAACCACGAGCTAAGTATAGAGATAACTTGTTGGGAGACCATAAACCTCTAATCATCCAGTTATCTAAAGATCAATCATCACAAGTTTTGAAAACCAGCCATCAACCCCCTATTTAGGTCAGTTTCATTCTTGCATTGTTAGCTGCATTCATCAATGGTGAAGCCTCTATCAACGGCATACTCCAGAAAACCATAAAGTGGCTTAACACCCTCACCATACTTTTCAAACCTCTCCAGCTCTTTCTTAGCATTGGCTCGGAGCTCCTCTGCCACGTCCATTGCTTTCTCAACCCCATATACACTGACATAATTCTTCCCTTTCTTTCTGTGTTTCTCAATTTCTTCCTTTTCCATCAATTTTGCTTCCAACACATCGCTAACCACTTGATACAACACTCCAACAGCTCTCCCATATCTCCTCAAGCTTTCTATCTCATCATCTTGAGCACCGGCTAACAACCCTCCACAAACTGCAGAACATTCACTCATTTCACCAAATTTTTTCTCCTGTATGAAGTCGACAGAATTGGGGCCACCCTTGAGGTCTAGGAACTGCCCAGCAGCCATGCCAGTGGATCCCACAGTGCGAGCAATCTCAGTAATCACACGCAGAAGACGAGCCTCAGGCACAAGTTCAGCTGGCGTGTGGGAGACAATGTGGCGGAATCCAAGAGGGAAGAGTGCATCACCAGCAAGGATTGCCATGTCGACACCATAGATTGTATGGTTGGAGGGTTGGCCTCGACGTATTGGATCATCATCCATACAGGGAAGGTCATCATGGATTAGTGAAGCTGCATGAACCTGTGGAAAAGAGAGCAGGTTCAATTGCATGGTTCTTTTGGAGTTCTCAAGATGCAGGGGGACAACTGATTCTCCTGTAACATTTCACTATTACTCGCAGCTAGAGCTAAACATGATTACAGATGCAGTAACAAATACAACCTGGACCAACCAGGATATATCTTGATATTGGAATTTGCTGAAAACAAACCTAAAACTAAGAATTTGAATCAAATGGAATTCAAGGAGTACAAATATCAAGTGCTTATCTAGGCCAATTCTCCCTACTTCAATTACAGATGAAATTAATTGTGGTTTCCAGTAAAAACAAAACAGAATTCAAAGCAGATTCCAGGTCGAAGGGTGGGTGGTCCACCCTCTACCCACCGGATTAGGTTCAATTCAATACTAAATGGCCCCCTTTCTCCTTATTCAATATTAACAAAATTGAAAGCAATGAAATTGAAACAAGAAATGCAAGGCCTGTGATGAAAGCAATCCAATTATAGCACCAGAAAACATGAATTCAACAATTTCAGGGGAAAAAATTTTGAAGCAGGAAGATCTTGGTGGGGAAACAGAACCTACCATCTCCAGAGCACAAGCAGTGGGAAAGGCGGCGAGTCTGTTACCGCCGAAGAGCTCACAGGCGGCAACGCACATGACGGGCGGTGCGCGCTTTGCTCCCTTTGCAAGCACCGAGTATCTCATGGCCTCATAGATCTGAGCCGGGTACTTGACTGGAATCGCCTCGTCAAGCTTCTGATTAATCTCCGATATCAGGGTTGTCCAGTACGTCTTCAGATCGAACGGGGTCGATCTAGATTGGCTCGAAACCGATACAGAATGTGGAGAAAGGCACCGAATCCGGAGATTCATCCTCTGGGGTTTCATGGGTACGAAGAGATTTGGCGATACTGACATAACTGTTGAAAACCCCATTATTTTCTCTCGTTTCTTCTTCCAATTCTCTCTCTTTCTCTCTCTGTTAGTCTGATTTAGAGGTTCGAATTTGGGAAATGGAGAGAACACCCCTCCTGTTCCTGGGATTTTGAAGTGGAAGTGGAAAAGCACAGAAAGTATACCTACTGCTCTCAAATGAAGTGGACCATGAACTGTGGATGGAGACAAAACACCAAAAGTGGAAAATGACTGCTAGTGCATTAACCTTTCCCCGTTAGACACAAGTTTTAAGTTTTGTTATTGAATTAGAAGAACAAAGGCAACTAAGGTACAATTTTGATGACCAGTGTTGTATTCTTGAAGAAATCAGAAATCTTGTTCTTGTCAAGATCTAGCTGGGCTTATTGAAAAACAGTATCAAAATTGCTTCTTTATGCTGGAATGAATGAGAATACGTGACAAATTAATGAAGTTTAAGATTTAATCCTTAATATATATATATATATATAACTGATGGGGCATCAAAGATTCAAACTTTATCAATTTGTTGCTTGATTTGTTTAAATTGAATTTGCCTTCTGTTCTTGCCTTTTTCAAACCAAAAACGTGTTTAGCGTTTCAAAATATGTAACTTAAACTATTAAATTAGATGTGTATGTTGACTCTTAATATAAAAATTTATTTTTTATTTAATGATTCATATTTTTATAGTTTAATTCTTATAATAAAAAAATAATTTATTTTGAAATATTCTTAGTGTTTTTATTTTTATTTTTTTAATAAAATTTTACGGTATTTATTTAATTATTCTTACCTGCATAATCAAAGGAAAAATTATTGAAAATCTAAAACATAATGATTCCTGCTTAAAATCTAATCCTGTCCTTAAGCGTTTATTTTAATAAAAATTA